CCCACTACCTCCAGATTTGGGCCCTCCCATGTGTGGAGTCAAATCCTGAAGATCAGGAGGGGTTTTTTTTCCGTCTTCCAAGATACTCGAGTTTCATTTGCAAATATGTTGTATATGTGTAGCTGGACCCTCACTGCCACTCTAAAGTAATGACCTGCCCTGCATATTGTCAATTTATATAGATGGGGACCAGATTTTGTAGCTGTGGAGATGCAAGCTGTCTTGATGTAGGGGGTTTTTGGTTCTTTTCTGCTATGTTTGAGCAATGGGAAACCGGTGCCAGCTACCTGGTTGGGGAGTAGCAGCCTTCCATCCTCTGTGGCCCTCGTCTGTTTAGGTGTAGTTTGAAGCATTCTTCCTGGTTGCTCCAGTAAGCGCGATGCTCCTTCCGTTTGCTGTCGCAATGCTTTGCATGCCGCTTTCTGCGTTCTCATTCACCCTAGCAGACCTGTCTTTATCCTGTCTGTTCCTTTGCTATCTGGGCTTAGACTGGGCTGCAGTCAGTGCCTCCTACTCGCTGTGGGATTACGTTCTTACGTCCCACACCACAGTAGCTACTTCAGGTTTCGCCATTTTTAGTGCTGAGCAGTGTCAACTCAAATTGACTTGCTTATAACATGTAACTTTGGTGAAAAAGGAGGAGAGAAGAAGATGCCAGCTTTGACTTGACCCTGATGAAGCAAAGGTTTTTCTAAGGAAACTGAACTACACAAGTTGTCTGTCTGCCTGTCCTTTGAGTGTTAATGGCAAAAAACCCAAACCAACCAACCAAAAAGTCTTGGGGGGCAATGAACGCTGTCAGAGCTGCACCTCCTTTCACTGCGATGTAACTGGTAACACGAGATGTCCTAATGGGTGGTTTTGTTTTTCCTTCCTCTTCTAGACGATGGACAGAGAGTTCAGAAAGTGGATGAAATGGTATGGGAAAAAACATGCAGAATACACAGTGAGTGAAATTCAGCTGAAAAACTTTGTGATCCATGCTGATGTACAGAATTTGCAAAGTCCTCTTCAGCCTTTCACCAGCCAAACAGCCATATGAGCCATATCTGCTTCCTGGCTTTTATCTTGGTCCCTAGGATAATGTTCTCCAAGACATCCTCCCAGGCTCCTCTCTTTGTCTTGCTTGACATGTGGTATGGTGTTATTGGGAGCACTTCCAGGTCTTTTCAGAAGCTCTTGGAGGATTTATTCTTCTAAAACACTGTCATTTCAACTGGGGCTGCCATGTGTCTTCTGTTTGTATTAAATCTTTTTTTTTTTTTTTTTTTTTTTTTTTTTTTTCCCCTCGCCATGGTGTGGGGGTTCTGCTGGGTAGACTGTTGAAAATGACAGCTTCTCCTTGGGTTTCTGAAATCTCCTGATAGAAATTAAATAAAAAAAAAAAAAAAAAAAAAAAAAACTGAAGCTTTGGCTTTGCAGACAGGTGAAGGTGTGGTCACCTGGGACAGTGGAGGAGGGGATGGGATGGCAGGGGTTTCAACACTGGGGAACATGGGGTTGAAGTTCTGGATGAATGCCAGCACTGTCAGATTAGAGCAGAAAACTCCAGGATAGGTGGCTTGTAGTTGGAGGTAAGGGGTGGGCTGTGGGCTTGGGAAGGATGGTGGGAGCTTAGTTCTCATGTGGAAAGGGTTGGAATTAGATACTCTGAGGGTGGAGCTAGAGCGGGAGGAGTAAATGGGTTGTCGCGGGGGATCTCTCTACTCAGGGCTAGGGCCACATGTTGAAATAGCTTTCCCTTTCCTCCGAATATTTCTTAATCATTGTGGATGTGTTTTCCACTCTATAATGATCGTGTGAAGCATGCACATTCATACACTGCCTTGTGTCATTCCTTCCCCTTTTCCTTTTCTCCCCCTTCTTAAATGTCATTAAGAAGATCTGCTCCCTAGTTAATCGCTTTCCAGTGAGGAAATGTAGGTAATCATAGTACAACAGCAACCCACTGGGAGTTTTGAAAATACATGGATTTATGCTTCTCCTGCCACTTTCCTATGGTTGAGGAAGAGGCTGGATGGAT